CACCCCCCCCCCCCCCCCTTTTTTCCCCCTTCCTTTGAAAAAAATTGGGGGGAAAAAAAAACCCCCTTGAAAAAAACAACAACCCAAGGACAATCAAAACAAAACTGGTAACATACAGTACTTAGCCCCCCCCCCCCCCCCCCCCTCAAACCACCATCACAGCTGAAAAGGGAATTGCATAACAAAAAGGTTAAAAGGGGCATTCTTCACTAATCATCTGCATTCATAAACAATATAATAAACAGAAGAGGTAGAGAAAGAAGGAAAAATCAAATCATGCCTAAAACAGTCAAAATGTCTCATTTTTCAAAATTCAGAGACACAGCCGAGGTCAGTCGCTTCATCACACAAAACATTTATACACAAAACAATCAATGACATCTATTAAGTCATCTCAGAAATTCAAAATCTACATCTCTAAAAACAAAATGCCAATATTCATGCCAACCATAGCAAACTGTCAGTACAGTGCTCACAAGCTGCACAAAACAGAGCAAAACAAAACTAGTCCTAAAACACAAAAGGAAACTTTTTTTATGCCACACTTTACGCCACAAGATAATTCCAGTAAACATGAATAAAATATCTTCAGTATACTATTGACAAACAATCATTTTAAAAACCTTTAACACCTTTTAAGAAGGATATCTGCAAACAAAGCGTTTATATAATTTTGTTTAAAATATCATTATAATACTTCTTTGCTTTCTCTAGGTGTATGTTAGAAAAAAATAACTTTTAAAAAAATTACAAAACTTATTTATCCTCATGCTAGACAAATAGAATGAAATAAATAAGTTTTGTAATTTTTTAAAAAGTTATTTTAGTTAACATGTTAAGACAGAATAACAACTTTTGACGATTTGAACAGTGTACATCTTTTCTAAAGCAGAAATATGTTACCTGGTGCAGCGCTGTCAGCCCATCCTCATTGGTCACGTCAGGACTCACGTTGCTCTGCAGCAATCTGCGCACTAAAACAAAATGGCGAAACCAAACTCAGGGATAATAACTATTAATAATAATAATAATAATAATAATAATAATAATAATAATAATAATAATAATGATAATAATAATAATAATACATGGATACCATTTGTATGACGCAAATTCCCGCTCAACAACAAGCTCTAGATCTATATGCGCTATATTACAAGCTATTATTACCCCAGCAGACCTGATAGCACTCTGAAACAACCTGATTTTTGTTTGTTTTTGTAAAGTGTTTTACGGCGCTCGCAACTGCATAAGGTCATATGAGCGCGCGGGACACACTTAATATTTTCAGTTAGTAGGAAATTTTGAATTTTGCCCGGGTGGCGGCCGAAGCCTACTCTTATCGATTTTAGACCACCAAGGGATCTTTAACGTGCGCAACTTGCACACGGGCCCTCCGAGATTTTTCGCCCTTGTCCGAGAAGGTTAGGTGTAGATCTTTCCTACCAGACGATCAGGGGTGTGGCAGAAAGACAGCAGTAAGGAGGAGCCAAGGAGTAGCAATAGAAAGGCTGCAGAAAAAGTCAGGAGCCCAGAAGAGGGGGCGAAGAAGGTGAGGGGGTGGGGGGGGGGGCAGAAAGTGGAAACGAAAGCAGACAACAGAACATTGCAAGAGAGCAGGAAAGGAGGTGAAAGGAGGCAATTTTAGATAAGAACATTTTTGATTCGAACCCGGGACCTTTGAATGAGAGGCCAACACCTTAACCTCTAGGCCACGAGAGCCCCCAAACAACCTGAACTTCCTGGGAAGCATACTACGGTGCAATAATAACGAGACAAATCTGAAACACAAAGGAACTGTGTCTTAGTGACACAAACCTTTTCTGAACCAGTTTCTCTGGAAAGTCATACATGAATATCTTTTCAAAACCCATTCTTCTTAAATTCAGTTTGTATTTTTTCTTCTTGTTACGAGTACGCTGCCGGCCCTACCGTTACTCTCTCTCCCTTCCTCTCTCTGTCTGTCTCTCTGTCTCTGTCTCTCTCTCTCTCTCTCTCTCTCTCTCTCTCTCTCTCTCTCTCTCTCTCTCTCTCTCTCTCTCTTTCTCTCCCCCCCCCCCTCTCTCTCACTCTCCCTCCCTCCCCCTCCCGTAACAGACCCTGAGTCCAGACCCACACTACACAATACCACCAACAACTGCAACCACACTCTGGAAGCCGAATGCATATCATCAATTTTATTATTATTATTATTATTATTATTATTATTATTATTATTATTATTATTATTATTGTTATCATTATTATTATTATTATTGTTATCATTATTATTATTATTATTATTATTATTATTATT